ATATACGTTCTCTGAGTGTAAATATACTTGTTCAGATAATGAAATTAATGTCTATCGACCTAGACAAACGAAAGTCTTAAGCACGCGTTTTTACTAAAGTAAGATTTATAGTAATAAAAACAATCAAGATTAATGTCATTTTTTATTTGTGTTTTTAATTTCTTTTGGAGATTTGCTTTACGACAGGGGAGATTAATTTTACTATTTGTAAAAAAAGAAAAGAAAAAATGTGAAGAAATAAAGAAATAAAGAAAGAAATGGGTTGTTAGATTTTCGTTGTCTAGGCCGGTAGACATTAACTCCATCTTTTGAAAACTTAAAAGAAACAAATAATTTTTTTTCACTTCTTTTAATTTTTGGTTCTTTTATGTGCCGTGATTATTCAAGATGTAAGCGATCATGGCCCTCCACATCTTCCTGTCCCTTGTAGCTCTTAATACGTTTTATCTTTTTGTTATTTCTCCCAAATCCTGTTCCACTATCCATTTGCTAAAGCCCATCAAGTATGTTATGCGCTCCTTTCCTCTGTCCCTCTTGCCCTCAATCTGTCCTGTGAGTATCAGATTTTCCAAGCCCTCTTTCCTCATTACGTGACACAAACATTTCAACTACCTCTTCATGATGTTAAGTAAAAGTTTTCTTTTTCTTTCATTTTCTCTCAAGCCTCCTCGTTCTCAATATGTTCGATATACTCAGAATCTTTCTGTAGAACCAAATTCCTGTTGCTTCAAGACTCTTCTTCATGTTTGAGGAAACTGTCTAACATTCACTGCCATACAGGAGGGCAGATATCACGTAACAATCCATATTCTTTAGTTTTACTGTTTGGAAAAAAATCATGAGTGTTCACTGAAACATGTGTAACTACGAAACTAAGGCTTAGTTTCGTAGTTCAGTCAGTTATGTGCCATGTGTGATACACGCTTAGGCAATCATGTATCTTTCGATACATGACTGAGGAGGCAGATTTTTTTTCCTGCAGTAGGTAGCCGTTTTTTTTCTGCGGTAGACCAATTCCCATCCAAGGCTATAAAACCAGGTCTGCCCTGCTACTTACCCATATCATTCAGAAGAAGAGGATTCAGACCTTTTCTCAAAGGTATTAGCACGTAAGTGAATGTAATGGATTCGACTGGAATTCGAACTCGGCTCTCCGATTCCTCAATCCATCGTGCCTCCGTAGTTACACGTGTAATAATGTCAAATTAAAATCCATTAATTACGTAGTTTCGAACGATTATTATAATCAGTTAAACAGACATAATTTCCATTTTATGGTGTTTTTATATGCGTAGCTTAAGTATGGCACAAGGCCGAAAGTATGGGACACTCAGTGTGAATCGAACTCATTATTCAGTCCTAATTTGTCCCCTTTTATGATTACCGTAACACAGTTTTTCTTAATAATTGCAGAATATACATATAAGCTTTTTTATTGTTTTTTATTGATTTTGTTATGATTTGTCCCCTCTCTGCGTAGGTAGTAGTAGTAGTCGTAGTACAGTTCTCCGCGTCCTGAATGTTCGCCAGTTATTCTCTATTTTTGCTTGTCTATCTAATTTGCATACAATACTACAGGTTTATTTTGTTTTTACGGTATATCCACCTCAATGGGTAATTTAATGCCGACAAGAATTTTAGGAAAGGTTCGTATGAATAGAATATGTATTCTTTAGTTTGGTTTATTTTGTTTTACAGCATATACACATCAATGGGTCATTTAATGCCGAAAATAATTTTAGGAAAGATTCGTTTGAATAGAATATGTATTATTCGGTTTGGTTTATTTTGTTGTACAGCATATCAACCACAATGGGTTATTTAATACCGACAAGAATTTTAGGATAGGTTCGTATGACTAGAATATGTATTCTATGGTTTGGTTTATTTTGTTGTACGGCATATCAACCCCAATGGGTTATTTAATGCCGACAAGAATTTTAGGATAGGTTCGTATGAATAGAATATGCATTCTTGGTAAGAAACCAGTTTCGAGATCACGTTCCGTAGATGTATTTTTTAAAGAAGGTTTGTGAGGTGAGTCAAATATATTGCTGGCATTTCTTTTACAAATGTATTGCTGGTAATATTTTTACTATACAATCTATTTTTATGCTTTTATAGTGCTTTGACCCCATTTACCGGGGCGTTAACTATTTGCCCATAGTTGGAACCCTAACAGGCGTTACAGCTACGAGTCAGGGCCGCCTTGGGAACAACATCAATTATGAGGTGTTTCCACGTTCTTCAAAACTTCCCGATCAGAGGCCTTGCTGACAGATATAGTTTATCGTCATACCCAGGGCGGTTCATATTAGGATAATTATTTTTTCAGCTCGCTTCCTGAAATTGACGAAGTCACAAAATCTTCATAAATTAAAGTATTAATGCGATCCAATTATAATCGTTATTTGGATAATCTTGTACGAGGTTTCGTAATTACGAAAATTTAATTGGCGACAAGACAGACACATATATTAAATATCAACCCTAGAGCATTGAATAGTCAACTATAGACACTATTTCTTACCACACCATGTTGAATTGTGTCCTCATGATTGATTTGTTTAACAGCAAATCAACTCCTTATGGGTCATTCAATGCCGAAATTTTCTTTTCTTAGGAACTTTGAAGTAATAAAAATATGGTAAATGTTATTCTGCCTTCATAATAGAGTACTTGGTAGATAATACTCAGCTTTTGTGCAGATGCATATTTGCGTGGACACAATTACTAGAGGCGGTGATATATGTGTTTAATGTTGTAGTTTTGTTGAGGTTATATTTTGGAATAAAGATTGAAGAAAATTACCAACTATCCATATTTAAATCAAAATGACCGACAATATATGGTATCTATAGTTGAAGGCCTATACAGGTATATTTCACCCTACGTCGTTAATTGGTTCTTGAGTTCACGTCTTAGGTCGAAAAATTACTATAAACGGCAAATAAGCGCTCCACGTCGCCTATTACAGTATTTATGATATCTACGTACAGTATTCTAAATAAAATAATTAATTTCCACCTTATTTTCTAACGATACAGCTTTACCCTTGCACTGGGACTTCCAACGATATAGCTTTACACTTGCAATCGGACATTTTTTTCGAAGCTCTAGGCAATGTATTCTAAATCACAATTGAAATGTAATCGAAAGAACGTCATCGTCAGAGCACAGATGTAAACATGTTTGAATTCAAAATCGGTGTTGGAGCAGAAAACAACGCACGAATGCCGCCTGTCAAGAAGTTGAAATGAGAACATCTGCTGAACATTCTTTGTTATGTTATATTTTTGTTTTTGATGATTTTCTGATATATATATATATATGTGTGTACACATATAAATATATATATATATATATATGTGTGTGTGTGTGTGTGTGTGTGTGCGTACACACATACACACGCACACACACTCATATATATAGATGTATATATATATATAGTATACATAATATTATTTATTTGAATATAATTTCATGCGTGTTTATTGTTATTTTATTCTTTTGACTTTTCTAATATTTTAACGGGTGACGTAATCTCAAGTAAAACGACCTAAGACGAGTTTTATTTCTCCACATAATATTTAAGAAAAACCGACGTATCTTCAAAAATGACTTAACTCGAAACGACTTAAGTCGAGCTAGCACTGTATCTATGTTATACCGGAACGTACCTATTTCTATTGTAAATAGACTCTCCCACAGATAATGAGTAGTAGAGAGAATATGGATAATATTATTTTAGAATTTATTTAAATATGATTTTATATGCGTTTATTGTTATTTTAGTGTTTTGACTTTTGTAATATTTCTTAATAGCCAACATAAACTAAAAAAAAACGACGTAAGTCGAGTTTTATTTTTTCATATAATATTTAAGAAAAACCGACATATCTTCAAAAATGACTTAACTCGAAACAACTTAAGTCGAGGTATCACTATAATTGCGTCAGAATATATTTAGTTGAGGACATAAAATTGGGTTAAAAATATTTACATTTCGGCATTAAATAACCCAATCTGGTTGCCAAAGTGGTACCAAACTTGGTACACAAACTGGTCCCAAACCTGCTACCCAAACTTGCTACCAAATTTGTTACCCAAACTGGCATCAAACTTGGTACCAAACTTGGTACCCTAACTGGTACCAAACTTGGTACCCAAACTTAGAAGCCAAAATGGTACCAAACTTGGTACCTAAACATAGTGCCAAACTTGCTACCCAAAAAAGGTATACAAACTTGGTACCCAAGCTGGCACGAAACTTGGTACCAAACTTGGTACCCAAATTTGGTACCCAAACTTGGTACCCAAAATGGTACCAAACAAACTTAGTACCAAACTTGGTACGAAACTTGGTACCAAACTTGGTACCCAAATTTGGTACCCAAACTTGGTGCCCAAAATGGTACCAAACTTGATACCTAAACTTAGTGCCAAACTTGGTACCCAAACTTGTTACCCAAACTGGCACCAAACTTCGTACCAAACTTGGTACCAAACCTGGTACCAAGCTTGGTACCAAACGTGGTACCCTAACTGGTATCAACCTTGGTACCCTAACTGGTACCAAACTTGGTACCCAAACTTGGTACCCAAAATGGTACCAAACTTGGTACCCAAACTTGGAACCCAAATTGGTACCAATGTTGGTACCACAGACTAAAAAACAAAGAACTGTGGCAAAATAACTACAACCACATAACTTAAGGACTTTCAGCTTTTTTGATTCATTAGTTTTCTATGGCTTGTCAACCCTTTGCAGATGCTTTAAAGCCAGAAGATATTTTTAGAATGTACGAATGTCTTTTTTATTTGGGTGGCTTATTAATACAAGTCTTACTATTTAACCCATAGCTGATAGAGAATAGGAAGATTCAAAGCTTTTCACAAGGATATGAGCTCATAAAGAAATATAACAAACACAAATGGAAATGTAATTCAGCACTCCGAATAAAAATTTCGAACCATTATACTACTAGCACATCCAAGCTTATAACACTTGATATTCCCAAACGGTCACCCATCTCGGTACTGACCAATGTAAAGTTTGCTTAACTTCGGTGATCGTACAGGAACCGGCATTTCAACGCGATGTGAACGTAAAGTGGGGATGTTCAATAGCAACAAATAAAATGAATATCATATGATTATTTTCCTCATATGTGGCACAAGGCCGAAAGTACGGAGCACCCAGTGAGGATCGAACTCACTACTTTGTGATAATTGTTCTAGCGGGGTAAACTTGTTAACCATTACACCACGTAACTAGAATAGAATATAATGACGTAATGAAGACGCTGACGTTCGAAAGGATTTGATTTGTTTGATTAACGGTATATCAACTGCTTATGGATCATTTAATGCACCGAGAGAATTAAGCCTGCATGTCTGAGAGAAAAAAGGTAAAAAGCGGATAGTCTTCTGTAAGAAATACAGACTACATTCTCTCGCTGCTATTTTAATTATTGATCTGTGAAAGCGGTTGCATTAAACTGGCAGTTTAGATATTTTGAACGTATTTGGCGGCATGCATATTAAAGTTTCGATTTAAGAACCGATTTTTTTTTCAAATGGAGTTCACCCCAAGCAAGGTAGTAAAACCCCAGAGGCACAAGAGTTGTGAAAGTGTTAGAAACAGCAACATTGGTAAGCAGTGAGAGCAGAGGAGGAATGACAGGTGCATAGAAGATAGCGACTAAAATAGCATTAAAATGTTTGTACATTAAAGTTGTCATGGAAACAGAAGGGTGTTCCACAAGCCAGAAGTGCGCGATAAGAGGCTGATAGCATAGAATTATTGTTATGGTCCAGGTTAGGACCAAGGAAGAACAACACGAACCCAAGAGTAGAAATAACGAAGGTATATTACACGAAATAATAATAATACAAGATGTGGAAGGTGTTAGTATGACTGTCAGTCTGGTTTGGAGTGAACTACTATCGGCTCGACTCGATTCGGTATCTATCCCCCACCCCACCCACGTGGGTTGCATGTGGCACAAGGCCGAGTTTAACGTGGGTTTCCCGAGCCCGTAGAACCCGTTTAAAAGGGATCGGTTTGGTCAACCACCCAGAACGAGACTCTGCCCTTCGGCGGAGCCTCGTCCGGGTTCCTCTTTGCTCAGAGGCAGAGAGTTCGACCCTCAAGTCGAGAAGCTCGGCTCGATTCAGTATCTAGCCACCCCACGAGGGTTGCATGTGGCACAAGGCCGAGTTTTACGTGGGTTTTTCTGAGCCCGTGGGCTCGGCCAAAATGCCCGGCGAGAGCTCCCGAACGAGACTCGTCGGCGGAGGTTCTCCTCTTTGCTCAGAGGCAGAGTTCGACCGTCAAGTCGAGAAGCTCGGCTTGATTTGGTATCTAGCCACCCCCCACGAGGGTTGCATGTGGCACAAACGAGCCCGTAGGCTCGGCCAAAAATGCCCGTATAACCCGTATAAACGAGATCTCATTTCTCCCGAACGAGACTCTGCCTTCGGCGGAGCCTCGTCCGGGTTCCTCTTTGCTCAGAGGCAGAGAGTTCGACCGTCAAGTCGAGAAGCTCGGCTTGATTCAGTATCTAGCCACCCCCCACGAGGGTTGCATGCGACACAAGGTCATTTTTATCGTGGGTTTCCTGAGCCCGTAGGCTCAGCCAAAAATATGCCCGTATGACTCGTAAAAACGAGATCAGGGTAGGTCATTCACCCCGAACGAGATTCTGCCCTTCGGCGGAACCTCGTCCGGGTTCCTTTCTGCTCAAAAGCAGAGAGTTCGACCATCAAGTCGAAAAGATCGGCTTGATTCGACCCTCTCTCTTGAGAGGCGTAGTATACATAGTGTTAGGAAGAGTTCATTCTTTAGTTATAGGTAAGGACCCATGACAATTATCTAGCCAGTTCAACTCTAAATTGGCGGGACCTCATCGCCAGTCTACTACTACGCTTAAAATCGAAGAGTCCCAGCACTGTAGTGAAGAGATCATCCAAACAATTACCATGGACGTATTTATAGAGAAGGCAAAGGGAGGCAACCTTACGCCTGTGTGAAACACACCGAAGCCGAGACGCCAGATAAGGACCAATAATATTGCTGATTTTTCTGTGGATTTTATCAAGGAGCTCTAGACACATGGTAGACTTATAGATATGTAAGCTAGACATTGGAGAGAAAATATTGTCTAACACGACACAGTGAACCAAACTTCCTGTCAGCTAACCTCGCATTCAACATAGTCTTTCCACTTCCTGTCAGCCGAAGACGTTAGCCCAAGAAGAAACACCGACACACCCCCCTGGAGGTCTGTATCGGCTATGCTGATGGATGTCAGGGAGAGATCTTTCAGATGATTAATTGAGAGCAGTTCAGTTTTGGAAGCGTTAAAATTAACAAGGCATTCTTTGCTCACGTTAACAACAGATAGAGGGTCGTTTTGGATATCAGCTGCCATTTTGACCTCATCAAACTGATCAAACTTACTGTCGAGACAGGGGTAAATGGTTGTATCATGAGCATCATCTATTATTTATCGTTTAGTCGCTTACAATTTCCCAGCCATTTTTCTTTGATATCTGGTTGAAGAAAAAAAAAACTAGCTTTCAAGATGTACTTAAGATCATTTTTTTTTGTTGTGGCGGGGGGGAAATATTACTTAAAATAGCACAAAAGTGGGAGATGTGTAGAGTCATAATCAAAGATTTCCTGAAAGTAATTGGGGCGTAAAAGATACATAAGTGAGTTCGAACTCGTTATTTGTAGCCTTGGAGACAAACTACGCTCTGCCATGTTAAATATGAGAAAGTCTCACTTTTGATGGAATGTTCGCTCTGGCAGTCGTGTATTTCTATGCATAGTACCAGACGTCGACTACGTTGTTTTATATTATTGATCATCCAATGCAAGGCCCAAGAGCCACTCAAGAGAATGGGTCATTTAAAGCGGCTGTTATATGGCCGTGAAAGGAGAAAGAAAGCAGTGAAACCTAGAGTGTAGTGATTGGGAGATCAAATTAAGCTTCAACTTTACTAACGGAATACGGAGGTAGAATTAATGTCTACCGAATTAGAAAATAGAATGTCGAATTGGTGAAACTATACTTTTGGATAGAGATCAAAAGGCTCCTCATTTTTCTTCCCTTAAAAAAAAAAAAAAAAAAGAAAAAAAAAAAGCGAAATTAATCTTCCCTGAAACAAACAAAAGAAGGAAAATGAACTTTATTTAAATTGATACACTTGTTTGATTGTTTTATAACTACAGAAATTACTTTAAGGGAAATACGGGTTTCAGACTGTTGTCTATCCTGTCTACATGGTATGCCGGGTCCTAAACGAAACGATCTGAAATGATGGCCCGAAGAAATGAAGTTCATCAGAATATTTCCTCTGGTTTTCTATATTTTCTGCAGAGCATCGAGAAGGATGCTACATCGCGGCAGCTGCAAGTTATTAGATAACTATTCATATCTATCTTACTAAGGTTAAACTAACATATCTCAAACTGTTCTTTACTGTCCTTACTCAATTATTAATCGGCCTATTGATGATACACTTTGTTATTTTCGCGTGAGCTTTTCCATCTCAAATTTCCACCGACAGGAAATTATACGTTGCGCTTTTTACAGGAAAAAATGACGACACAAAGAAATATTTTATCAGGCAGGCTCGCGGGCACACACATACAAACACACACAGACAAACACACAGACAAACACACTCTATTATTTATATTTAATGATTCTTTTATATATATATATATATATATATATATATATATATATATATATATATATGTGTGTGTGTGTTTGTGTATGTCAAATTTCAGATGTAAATAAAATATATCTGTTTAGGACAATCTGGATAGACAAAAGGAAAACTTGTTTCATCCACGTCATCTATTATTTAGCGTTTCGTCGTCTACAATTTCCCAGCCAATTTCTTGATAAAGTACGTCCGAGGACGAAACACAATCGGTTAGGATAAGTTTTTTTTTGTTTATATATATATATATATATATATATATATATATATATATATATATATATATATATATAAGTGTGTGTGTGTGTATGTGTGTCTGTTTGTGTCTGTGTGTATGTGTGGGCGTATGGGTGTGTATGTGTGTGTATATATATATATATATATATATATATATATATATATATATATTCCGTATGGGTAGACCCGAGGAGGATGATATCCAGAGAGCTCAATGTAAAATTCAGAGCAGATATGTTTGAATAAAAAACAGACCACTTTAGAAGTAAAGTCTGATGATCCAGAACCCTGTTAAAGGGGTTATGGTGAAATAGCTTATTACATGGAATCTTAACGTGGTTTGTTTTTTATTCAATATATATATATATATATATATATATATATATGAAGTTCCCAGACTTCATGAATTTAAGCGTTCAACTAGGCTGGCATCTCGCTCTCACCCTTTCACTGTCGAAACTGTTAAATATAGCCGTCTCTTCTACTCCAATAGCTTCATGTCTCGCACTTCTCGCCTGTGGAACTCCCTGCCCTTTTCTATAGTTATAATCTCCAACTATTCAAATGTAATGTCAATCGACGTCTCCAGATGCCCTGATCTATCCCCTATCCTTCTCTTCATCCTTTCCTCTATCACTCCTATTTGCTCTCACCCAAATCTTTTGTAACTCCTTGCGTGCTAGGGGCTTCCCGCCTTGCTTGGGGTGAAATGCTTATATATATATATATATATATATATATATATATATATATATATATATATATAGTATATCATCATTCAAGCGTGTTTGTTTGAATAAACTAGACACATTCTGACTATAAGCTTTTCCGTCTGCTTTTGCTTCAGATACTATTGAACATACTACAAACATCTCTCACAAACAATGTACACACACACTTATTCATATATATATATATGTGTGCGTGTGTGTATGTGTGTTTAGACTGCATGTATTCATTCAAGCAGATTTAGTTGAACAATCTAACCATATTATGCCCATTTATTTTATTTTAAACCCTCTAAATTCATGGATCAGTTTCTTAGTGCTGTTACAAATTTGAGTAAGAAAGACACCGTAGTTTGGGTATTTCTTTTATTTTCCCCAATTACTTTCAATCTTAAAAATGCTG